CCTCTGGAGAAGATGCAGGGAGGAAACAGAAATGGTGGAGGGAGCGGTCAGGGCCCCCCACCCCCCAAAGTGAGCTGTGTTTGGGTGTTTGGCTATCAGGCACTTTCCCAAGAGAACAAGACAGGCCATCCCGGCCTGAAGCTTTGCCCTGCCGACCTTGCCTTAATGACCATGTCATTCTGTGTTCCTCTGAGAGCTCAACCTCCCCTGAGTAAAAAAATCAAAATCAAGAGCCTACCATTAGAATGATTTCATTCTCAGGAGGGAAAGGGGAAAGGGAGGAGGTAAAATAGGGGAGAGGATGAGGCTGCATGGGTTCCATGGCTTCCTATCTCTGAAGTCCCAGCTTTCTTTATTCTCTAATTTGTGGAAACCCAGGTAAGTTCTATAGGATAATTCATAAAACAAATAAAACAAGCAAATATCAAGATCCCAATGGCTCTGTGACCTTGTTCACATACACAGCCACACAAAATCCATGTATAATTTTGTCTAACCATCCACATTGAAGAAAATTCTCTTTTTAAGAGTTAAAGAAAAACACAAATTCTTGGATTTTCCATTAGAAAAAAAAAGTCTTTCTTGTGAATGTTTTGAGAAAATACTCAAAAGATGACAAAAGATAAAGGAGAAAGAATCAACTCTAGCACTGCCATCAAAAAAGAAGGATTTATGGCAGCCCGGGTGGCTCAGCGGTTTAGCACCGCCTTCAGCCCAGGGTGTGATCCTGGAGACCCCAGATCGAGTCCCACATCGGGCTCCCTGCATGGAGCCTGCTTCTCCCTCTGCCTGTGTCTCTGCCTCTCTCTCTCTGTGTGTGTGTGTGTGTGTGTGTGTGTGTGTGTGTGTGTGTGTCGTGGATAAATAAATGAAATCTTTTTTTTTAAAGAAGGATTTAAAAATTCTGTTATATTTCTAACTAGTGGAAAAGACTATATGGGGGGGACAAGACAAAACAACGACAAAAACAAAAGGAAGACAAAACAATTGTTCATTCTGAGGGCTGTTTGCACGGGGCGGGGGGGCCCTCCTCGGTGGGCCAGACCTTATGGCGATTTGACAGGGAATCCAGCAGGAGTGAGGCATACCTCTTCCTTCCCTCCCGAGCTGCCAGTCTCCTTCATCAGGATGCCCACAAATGTGCCAGAGGTGACACTATCCCTTCACCACAAATTCGGACAAGATACTGAAAGGTCATAAGTGTTTGTGGTCTGTCCCAACTGGCCAGCTGCCAACGAACGAATAGGGATTTGAGAAAGGCTCCGCAGGTGGCCAGGTGTGGGGCAGGTCCGAGGAGGCGTGTGAAGGCCCAGGGAAGGGCGGCAGCCCAGACAGAGGTGTGCAGAGTTCTCCGTGCAGCCCACGTGCCAAGCGTCTGGGTCAGAACGTGGTGATGCCTGTGGCCGAGTAAGTAGGGATTCCAAGCTCTCGCAGAAATGACCTCAGTCCCCGTCTGCCCCACAGATGATGGGGAGGGCGTTGGGGGCGGGGGGAGACCAGTTGCTGACTGGGGCACAAAGGCAGCCATCTGGGCTCCCCACCACAAACTAGAGCAGTGCAGTGAGCACAGCAAATAGTTCTCCTATTATTTCACGATGTTTACAGACTGACGCTTGCTGAGGAAACCTCCACACGCGAGCAAGTCATCTTTTTTTTAGACCTCTTATCTAAACACAGTCACGGGCAGTCACACAAACCCAGGACAGGGTCCATTCACTCAAAATGCATTGCCTGAGTGGCGGCGACACCACTGGACAGATGCTCTGCAAGCCTCCACCCCATCCCAGATGCCACACGGGGATCCAGCTCGCCACAGAAGTGGATTCCAGCCTCGAGGGGTGTGCTGGCCGGTGGGGGAGCTAGCTGGGCACTTAAGCCAGAGGGTCATGGCTGGTTAAAAAAGTGGAGGGGAAGCTGCTCCAGAGTAAAACAGGCATAGAAGGACTAGCTACCAAAGGCAGCATGCACGCTTGGATCCTGATTCGAACAAACCAGCTACGAAGGTCCTTTCTGAGACAATCAGGGAACTCTGAATATGGTCAGATGAGACCGAAGAACTACTGTGAACTTCATTACATGCAAGAATGGTAATCGGTTATGAAAAAAAAAACATTCTTTTGCAAAAATGACATGATTATCAGAGATTTGCTTTAAAATACTTCACAAAGGAGAGGAGGGGAGAAAAAGAGGGAGATGAAGCCAGCCCGGCACAATCTTGATGACTGTTGAACTAGATAATGAGTATGTGGGGCTCACTAGATGATTCTATTTTTGTGTTTGAAGATGTCCGTGGATAGGTTAAAACAGGACTGCAGTACATCGTGGTGGACGGCTTAATGAAGACTGGTACAAAAGGCTAAGGGAATAAGGGAATACGGAGCAAAGAGCGAGGAGGATCCGTAGGAACCAGGAAAGAAATCTGTTAAGTTTTGCGAGTGTTCTAAAAGCCATTTCACAGTGGGGTGGGAAGCCATGGCCATAAAGAATTACTACAGAAGTTGGGGAATAGTGAGTGCAGCAGAGGAGCTGCACGCACCAACCCTCCAGAGTACAGAGCATAGCCCACGGGCTTTTTCTGATTTTTTTCTGCTTCCTTCAATACTTAACTCACCTCATAAATCTCATTCATACAGACTGAGACCAGGATCCTAGCTTAGTTACTTGCTGGCGATGTGAAAGATGGGGAGAGGAGGGAGTTTTAACCTTCCCCCAGTCTCCGTCTCCTCATCTGTAAAATGGGGACAACCCAGCTACTTCTTTGGAGGGCTAATGTGGGGGAACCTAGTGATATAAACGATGAAAAGTCCCAGCATGATAAACAGTATTCCCTTCCCTGGCTCTTAAAACAATAGACTTGTAGCCCTGGCAGGGCTTCTAAGGTGAGCAATGTTCAGCCCAAATCTTACTGCATCCATACCCTACCCCTCCTGCCAGAATCAAGGCTCTGCACCAAGAAGGCAGGACCTCTACCCTTCAAAGGCAGGAAGTGAAAGGGGCAGGTCCGTGGTTGACAGGCACACCCAGATGAGGGTAAGGACACTGGCTGAGAGAAGAGACACGCCCCAATTAGAGGCTGAGGAGGGTTCCGCAGCTGTTCCTCCTCTCCTTGCAGCTCCTGGGAATGGGCCTCCAATGAACACAGCTAACACCAGCCTTAGTCCATAAGATGCTGTTTACTGAAGGACAACTGGTTGGTATCGGGCTAATCATGATTTTCTCTGAGAAGAGAGGGATGAGCAGAAAGCCTGAGCTCCGGGACTTGCAGGGAGGAGGCATGGAGGAGAATGATGTCGTTTTCTGTGAAGGTATGCTCAAACTGAGGATCTCAACCACCTTACGACCATAACCAATATACCTCAACAACTGTCGCCCCGAAACAAAACAAACAAAACTAGAATCGGATCTAAGGTAGAGATTATTTAATAGTCTTTCTAGGCCATCCCAGGAGCCAGCTTTCAGAGGTAAGACCAAGTCAACGGGCACAGGCAGGCTTCCTCCCCACCGCCACCCCCCAGACAGCACCCAGACACCAGCAGGTCGACCCCTTCCCATTACAGCAGGACCTAACAGCATTACCAGCCACTCATCCCTGACCGGAGGACAGGGCGAGCGAGTGGTCTGCGGGTTCAACAACCTGGGCTAACCGGGGTCAGTTCTGGTGCTTTGCCAAAGCAGCAGCCTCTGAATCCTAAGAATCTTTTCAAAGTCCAGGAGGCTCCAATCAGCACAGTAGAGCCACGATCCTGGGCACGGCGCTCTCTACAGCCACGGGGCAGCAGTAAGAACCCCGGATTTAGTTCTGGCCAAGCCCGGTCCAAATCCGAGCTCAGCCACTTCCTGGGTGACCTTGGCCACTTACCCTACCCGGGGGGGTCTGTTTCCCCACGTCTGAAACGAGGAGGGCAAACCTGAGTTTTTGGAGAGTAACCGTGAAATCCGCTGCGACGGTGCCACAGAGCAGGACCTGTGGGTAGGTAGGCAGGTAATAAATCTGTCTTCTGCCCGAAGGTAAGTTCTTACTCCCCAGAACATCCGTTGCGGCTGCCCTGGACTCTCGAGCCCCACTTGCTGGGCTCGCCCTCTCCGGACAGGGAAGGAGAACCAAGCTGACCCAGGAGCGAGGGCACCCAGGCACATAAACACGGGAGGGCCAACCCACTCCGGCTTTCTTTCCGGAGGACCTGCCCACGGGGGGGCCAGTCAGGGACTTCACCCTCCACAGAAACCGCAGAAGACTAGAGGCAGGAGGCCAGGCTGACAGCCGGGGGGGGGGGGGCCCACACTGCCGCCCGGGTCCTGCGAGGTCGGTCGGAAAGGGGCGCGTCTTCCCCAGCCAGCAAGGGCGATTCCGGGCCGCGCGGAAGCCTGGCCTAGGATGAGGTTAACCCCGCTCGCTCCGGCCTGGGAGCCCAGGGCACGAGCCCCTTCCCCCGGGGCTGTGGGGCCAGCGGCGCGGCGGGCGCTCCGGGGCCGGGGGCGCGCCTGGCTGCTGCGGGGCGCCCGGGCCAGCTCGCGGCCCCCGCCCCGGCCTCGGTCCCGGCCCCAGCCGCAGGGGCCCGGCACTGACATTCGGCCCCGCTCAACGTCCTGTTGCTAAGGAGGGAGGCGAGCGCCCGCGAAGGGCGGGAGGGAGCGCGAACCCGCGTCTCGGGAAGGCGAAGTTTGGGGACGCCCTGCCCCGGGGCGCGGCGCGGTCGCGCCCCCTCCGTGGTGACGTTTGCGGATTCGCTCGGCTCGGGATTGCGGGTCTGGGGGCTGCGGCGGCGCAGGAGGCAGCTCGGGGTGCGCGGGGCGGGGGCCGAGCGCGCCCTGAGCCCCTCCCGGAGACCTGCCGCGCGGCCCCGGGCTCCCTGGGCTCGGCCACCTGCCCGCGCGCGCCCCGGGGTTCGCGGGGAGAGATGCTGCGGCCGCACCTGCCGGCCCCGCCGCGGCCCCCGCCCGCCCCCGCCCCCGCCCCCGCCCCCGCCCCCCTCCCGGGAGCCCCGCACCAGGCCCCTCACCGGGATCCGCGCCGGCCGCCGAGCCCGGGTCAGCTGTGCCTCCGCCGAGGCCCGCGGAGCGCGGCCGGGACCCGCAGGCGGCCTGCGGCGCCGGGAGCTGGAGACGCGGCGGCGCAGGCTGGGCCCGGCGAGGAGCGCCCGCTCTGAGCGCCGCCGGCCGCCCGCCCCGGAGCCGCCCCCGGGGCCGCGGCCAATCGCAGCGCAGCCGGGGGCGCGGCCCGCCCCCGCCCGGGGCCCGCGGCCAATGGCGCTGCGGCGCGGAGCCCGCCCCCGGCCGCGCCCGCCCCGCCCCGCCCCGCCCCCACGGGCCAGCTGTCACCGCGGCTGCCGGCGGGCGCACGTGGGCCGCGGCCGGGCGCGGGGCGCTCGGCTGGCTCTCGGGGCGCTCGCGGCGCTCGGGGCGCTCCGGCTCGGCCCGGCGGGGGCGGGGGCGGGGGCGGGAAGGGGCTGCGACACGCAGCTGCTGCATGAAAACCCGGCTGCTCGCATCCTAGCGTCAACCGAGAGGCAGGGGCTGCGCCTCGGCTTCCCCTTTTGCAAGCGAGCGAGCAGCAGGGCCCATCCTGGAACGACTGTGGACCTCCCCCCTCGCTGTGCCCCTCGACTCCCCTGGGCTTCAGCAGACGCCCTGTTAGCTGGCAGGCTCTTCCGCTCCCCTGGACTGGCCTGCTTAGGATGCAGGTGGTGGCTCTCGGGTTTTGTCACCCTCACTGATAGTTTCACTCCTTTCCCTCTATTCCCTTTCACTGACTTTTATATTCCCCCAAATGAATGAGACCACATAATGTTTGTCCTTTTCCGATTGACTTATTTCGCTCAGCATAATAACTCTGGAAAATGAACAAGGGGTAGTGGAAGGAGGAAGTGTGGGGCGGGGGGTGGGGGTGACTGGGTGATGGGCACTGAGGGGGGGCACTTGGCAGGATGAGCACTGGGTGTTATGCTATATGTTGGCAAATTGAACTCCAATAAAAAATAATTAATAAATAAATAAATAAATAAAAGGATGCAGGTGGTGGGAAGAGGGGCGGTGGGGCTACCTTAGTCAAATCACCTAAGCACCCTCTTCTCTTGGCTGTCAAATGGCTGCCTTAGTCTCTGCTCTGCCCACGCTCCTGGCTTGCCCATACCCCCTCAGCTGCAGAGAGCACCATCCACAGAAAACTCAGGGTGAACAGTGTGGGGCCTAGTGAGGGGTGTAAAGTCGTGGTAAGCTGCAAATACTACCAATGACTTGTGCAGGCCGCCCCGGTTTAGTAGTGATCATGAAACAGGGATCCCCAGGGCAGGAGCCGTGTCTTACTCACCTCTGGAGATCAGGGTCTATCACCAGCTTGGCCCAGAGCAGGCATCAATAAATATTTTTGGAACTGAGCTGACCCAGGAGAGCAGAACAGGCAAGCTTGGGCAGTGAGAGAAGAGTGTTGTGGCTCCAGGCTGCTGGAATTTCCGCAGCACCGGACCACCCTCTAGAGAGGTCTACATGTTTCCTTGCCAAGCAGGTACAAACAGAAGTTTGCCCCTAACAAACCTGGGCCTTATCTGGTTCTCTCTGCCCCTTACCAGGTGAGCCTACTCCAGGACTTTTGGGTTTTCCTGGGGATTGTCCTACCTGGTAGCTCTCTTAGCACTTTTGGAGTTCTCAGTCAACTTCCTGTGGGTGAACTGCAGCAAAAGCTGTCCCTGCTCAGTCTGTAAAAGTCAGCAGTGGCTCTCAGAGGGGCAGCTCTCTGCTCTGATAGAACATTGCGGGTGATGCCAGTTGATGGCGTGCTCTCTCTGCACGTTTTCTCAATCCTGTTGATGGCGCTGTAAGGTCTGTATCTTTGTTATCGTTCCCTTTAACAGATGTGGAAACTGAGACTCAGTGAGGTAAAGTAACTTTTCAAGGTCACATGGTTAATAAGTAACAAGGTCGGAATTTGAGCCCAGAGCTATCTGATCCCAGAATCTGCATGCCTAACTACTGTGCACTGGGCCCCTACAGCCCTGCTCATGCCTCTAGAGCACTGGACAGGCGGTGTCTATCTCCAAAGGAGCTGCTCTGGGGCCTGCCCGCCCAAACATCCTATTGAGCTCAGGCCTGGGCACTGTCAGGGACAGCAGGTGAGACCAGCATGGCCCTGCTTTATTTACGGAGTGACAGAGGAGACCCTAGACAGGAGCTTCGGCAAACAGTGCTGCCTCTGCCCCCAGCACAAAGCCTCCCTGGACACAGAAGGCCTCTTCCTTCTGGCCTAGGTCTGAGACACCCCTGTTGGGGATGGAGCTGGAGCTGGAGATAGTCATTGATTCAATTCACAGATGCTCCTGCGAGCTGGATGTTCCTGCATTCATGTAACTCACAGCACAGCTGATAAATAACCAGAAGTACCAGGTGCTATGGCAGCTGTATTCTTTATTGCTTTTATCTTTTCTAATTTCGATCACCTTATCTCTAGCACAATGTTCTCCAAGTCAAAGAAATTTAACTCTAGTTCAGGAACACTTTGGGCCAACCCAATTTTACAAGGATAGCACTGCTCAGTATAGAAGTTCTAGTAGCTCAAAAACTAAAATTTATCACTGCCTTCCTAGGAGCTTTGCTCTTCTCCTTCACCCAACTTTGTGGTGTTTTGTTTTTCCCACTCCACTTTTTTAACTCAGGGGCTCAGGTAAGTAAGAAAGACCCTTGCTTAGGTGAGCTTTTAGGGCAAGTAGGGAGCTCCTGGGAGCTAAGTGCCTGGATGGAGATAGCTTTGGGACCTTTTGAGCCAGCAGTGAGAGCCCATCACCACCACTCACAAGCCACTCTTCCTGGCCATCTCCCCGGAGAGTACAGAGAAATGAGGGATAGGAGATGACAACTCCACCTGCACAGCAGCAACCATGGCATCTCCCACTGAACTGTGTGTCCGGGAGTTTATACAACTAAGCTCTTCGAAGAGAAGGTTATGCAAAGTTAGAGCAGACCAGAGAGGAAATAGCATCTAAGCCCCTCATTTAACAGATAAATAAAAAAAAACAAATTGTGGCCCCAGGGAAGGGAAGGTGCTTGTGAGTGTCACGGAGTGTGGGAATGGGTTCCAGGTCTCCGAGGCCCCCACCTCTCTGGTAGCACACAGGCAAACTCGCACCCCTCGTGCAGCGGCTCAGGATGCTATATTTAATAATAATCTCTTCCCCCGCCCCCTCCTCTCAGGACGGTGAATGTGTGCTGGCGAAGGTTGTCTGGGAGATGCAGATGGCCACATTAGCATCAGAGGGAGGGAGAGAAGGAAGGCCCAGATTCATCCCTAAAAATATCTGCATCTCAGACTGGAAGCCATGGGTTTACCAGCACATACGTGCCTCCCTCGAGAAGACTTCAGCTGGTGATCTCCGTCATCATTGGTTATCTACCTGACGGTGTTCCAAAACGGCTGTGGGGGTGTCAGGCCTGGCTTCCTTTTATTTCAAGCCTAGCAATTTGCTTGAAGAAAGGTCAGAGTTGAACTCAGTGGATTCCCATGCAAAGATTTTCTATGGAGAAGCCAGGGTGCCTCTCACAGCACTCGAATGGCAGGGAGAAGTGTTATACCACCAGGGAGAAGTGTTACACCATCTCCCCCTCCAACTGAGAGAGGGTCCCTGCCCTTGGACCTCTTCCTCCTGTGCTTCTGGTCCAGGAAGAGGTAAAATAGTGGGTGTGGTTCTCACCAGTTCCTCCCCAAGCTGCTACCAGCACAACTTTGGGCTTTCGGAAGGGAGCGGAAGGCTGGTATCTATACAAAGTCCAATGACCTTCTTAAATGATGAGAAAATGCTGATTGGCCCCAGGCCACGCTGGGAGCTGTCTTTGGAGAAGGACTTTCTAAGCCAGGGAGTGGAAGCCAGGGAGTCCCTCAAAGGGACACAGAAGTGTATAAGAAGCAAGATCACTGGGGCCTTGTTCTGTAGCCCGTTATCTTCTTGATAGGCCTCAGAACGCTCTATGTTTCATAGATAAGGCATAAAAATGTTTTCAAGGTCAGAGGAACTCATCAGGCCTACCACATTTTCAGTGGGTTTTCCAGAGACAGCTCAGGGAAGAAATGGCACCTGTCAAATTCAATAATGCCCTCAGAGAGACTGCAGCACTTTAGGGAATGTGTGCCTGTTGGCAGCAATGATGGGAAAGTCGGTGTGGGAGAGCTGAGAGCAGGCCAGAGATGACCTACCAGAGCAAACAGAGACAGAGACTAGGTGTGCAGGGGGTGAGAGGAAGAGACACAGGGTCATGAAAATAGTCTAGGCCCGGCCCCAAATAGCCTGGGAAGTGTGTGTGTGTATGTGTGTGTGTGTGTGTGCATGCTCAAAGCCATCTGTGAAATACAAGGGCATAATTTTCATCCTTACTGACGTAAGAGGTTCAACAATGCCACAGATGCACCCTCAAGGCACCCACACCTGCGTTTCAAGCAGACTCCTATTCATGCAAACCAGAAGCCCATTCTAGAGCACACGCTTGTAATTGAACGGAGCTAGGGAGGCAGTTCCCAAACCCTCCACAGTACAGCTGGCTAGGAGCAGAGACAGGGATATTTTCTCTGTTCTAGCTCATGGAGGAGGGCGGAGGGCACTCACTCAAGTTTATCTATCTATCCATCCGTCATATACCTACCCCTCAAATATGTGGAGTGCAGTTATTCTCAGAGATGTCCTAACTCAGGAGTTAGTAATAGTCTCTGAAGTCAAGATGCCTGAGTTTGAATCTCAGCTCTGCTACCTATTAGCTGTGTGACCTTGGGCAAATGACTTAACCTCTCTGGACAGCAAGTTCCTCACCTGTAATAGGGAGATGTGCCTGACAGCACAGTGACTGATGCAAAGTAAATGATATATCTGGGTTTTTGAATAATAAATTGAGAGCTGATCTTTGAAAGGATATAGAGAACAAGAGTCTCTAAGAGGTATTATTATGGGCGATTCCAGGTCAGGGACATGGCCACTTCCATCACTGAACTTGTATATTTGAAGTGAATACAATTATTATCCACACCTTAAAGATGAGAAAATGAAATCTCGAAGAAATCCCTCACCCACGCTCTCCCTGGAGCCCGCATATGGCAGGGTGAATCTGGCTAGCTGACATCTGAGCCTGGGCTCTATACATTCTCTGGGTTGTAAGACGGGGCAGCTCCCAGGCC